GAGAGCTACTACCAGATAAACCAGAGCTCGTATTATAAAACCACCCCACCCATGAAACTACTTTATATCCCCTTTTGGAACTTCAGTAGCTAAGCTTTCTTAGGGGCAGCATAAGACCCCAACAAGTCATATATTTAAAAGGTGCAATGTGAGAGATGTACACAGAATATTATGGGAGCACAGAGGATTCACTGCCCCCCCCCTTTTTTTAAAGAGAGAGATGAAAACAATAATATATTTGTTTTACCTCATCAAGATCTTTGGTCTCTCTGCCCAATTCATCATCATCTTCATCAGAATCAAGCTCTGGTCCAATATAATTCCCAAACTCATCATACAAGTCAGTATCCATGATGCTAAAATTCAAGGAAAAGAGGCGTTAGAGTCTAGCGAGGTAACCAAGGCCTCCACAACACGGCCCCACATTTCTAACCTTATGGTTGACCATATCCCCTTCAACACATCTCCTCTCCAGTAGGTTAGACCAACCTACTGACTGCTCCTCCTCACTGTTTACATTCTCTTCTCCCACTCTTACTATACTAAAAAAATTTTAACTTAAAATACCAGAAAGCTGCAAAGTAGCACAAATATTTTTCTTTTTCCTAAATTACTCGAGGATAAGTTGCTGACACAGTGCTTCATCACCTCCTAATACTTGAATGCAGGAGCTGGCAAACTATGGCCTGGGGCTAACCTTCCTGTTCTCATACAGCCCCCAAGCTAGAAATGTCTTTTACATTTTTTTTTTGTCTTTTACATTTTTAAATAGTTGAAAAATATCAAAAGAGTATTTCATGATATGTGCAAATTATATAAAATTCAAATTTCAGTGTCTATAAAAACAGCTTTATTGGAACACAGCCAGGCTCATTCATTTATAATGTCTGTGGCTGCTTTCACACTGTAACAAACTTGAGTAGTTCTAACTGAGACCATATGACCCACAAAGCCTAAAATATTTACTATCTGGCCCTTGATAGCAAGTTTGCCAACCCCTGCTTTAGTGTGTGTGATTCCTACAAACAAGGACATTTTCCCACATAACCACAGTATGACAATCAAAATCAGAAAATTAATAGTGACACATTACTACCACCTAATCCACAGACCTCCATTATTAAAACAAACTGTACTTTTTTTTTTTAAGTAGGCTCCGCGCGCTCAGCATGGAGCTCAATGCCAGGCTTGACCTCATGACCCTGAGATCAAGACCTGAGCTGAGATCAAGAGTTGGATACTTAACCGACAGAGCCACCCAGGCGCCCCTAGAACAAACTATCCTAATAATGTCCTGCGCAGCAAAGGATCCAATCCAGAATCACATGTTTGCATTTAACGGTCATGTGTTTAGTCTCCTGCACTCAAGAACAGCTCCTCAGTCTCTCCTTGACTTTTACAACCTGATGCTTCTGAAGATTACAGGCGATTAATTTTTGTATAATGTCCCTTAATTTGGGTATATCTGGTGTTTCCTCACGACTGGAGTCAGGTTTTGCATTTTTAGCAGGAATCTCTCAGAAGCAATGCGGTGTTCTTTTCAGTGCATCTCCTATCAGGTGGTACAAGATTTTAATCTGTCCCATTAGTGGTGACGTTCATTTAATTACTTGATTATGGTGGTGTCTGCCAGGCTTTTCCAATGTAAAGTTCTTGTTTTCTCTTTGTAATTAATAAGTATTCCGTGGTTTTCTCCACTTCAATTACTGAAATTCTATTCAAAGTAACAATTCAAATGCCACCTCCTTCAAGCTTTTCTAGGTCCTCAATTTCTCACTCCCCTACACTCCTATAGCCTTTTGTACCTTAATCAGCATTTAACTCTGCCTTGAATGGCAGTTAACTACTAATTACCCTCCCCAACAACCCTACAGTTTATAAGTAATAAACAACAAACCAGAGGTGGTGTAAGGGTTAGGGCTCTGGGGTTGAAAGGCCTACATTTGAATCCTAACTTTGTCACTTACTAACTAGGTACTTTCAGGTTAGTTACTTCACTTCTCCAAATCTATATCCTCAACTGGAAAGTGGAGTGAGTAATCCCCGTTGTGTGAAGTTATGAGATTTAAACAAAACAGTCTGTGTAAACAATTTATCAAAGTCCCTGGCTCAATAAATGTCAGCAAGCATTATTTTTTGGCTCTTCTTGAATACAGGAACCCTGTGTTCCTTGTGCCTTCCTGCCAATGCCCAACATAGCACCTTGCATAAGCAGGAAAGCAATGTTATCAGAATGGAGTATTTTGAGATAGTGGTATTCATCTCAAGTAAAGGACTCCAGGGATTTGTAATTAAATGTAAATTACAATGGAAACTTTCATATGCATATTCTTTTTATTTCCCAAGAGTTATCATATCTGTGCTCATTTCACTCCCCCAAGATCCATGAAGTGCCTGCACACATTTTTATAAAAGGCTGCTCGCGGAACAAATCAAGCTCATTTCTGCTCCAGGGCCTTTATACTTGAAATTCTCTTCCGAAATGCTCTTCCCTTGGATATTTATACCTTGTTCCTTCACTTCACTCAGGTCCCTACTAAAATGTCACCTCTGTTGGGGCGCCTGGGTGGCTCAGTCGTTAAGCGTCTGCCTTGGGCTCAGGTCATGATCTCAGGGTCCTGGCATCAAGCCCCGCATCAGGCTCCCTGCTTGGCAGGAGGCCTGCTTCTCCCTCTCCCACTCCCCCTGCTGTGTTCCCTCTCTTGCTGTCTCTGTCAAATAAATAAAATATTTAAAAATAAAACAAAATAAAATGTCACCTCTGAGAATGTCACTCTAAAACAGTCCTCCCTACACACACTCTCCGATCCCCACTTCCACTGTTTTATTATTACTTTATTGGTAGTAGTACTAGTCTTTTGCTCACATATATCTATTCACGTCACTTTCACTATCATCTCCCCATCTACAGTGTAAGTAAAGACTTCTTTTTTTTCCCCACGTAGAACTGTGCGGGCACAAAACAAGACCTCGATAACTATTTGTTGAATGATGAGTGAATAACTCCTACAAGGCACAGAGAAGGTAGAAGACTTGCCCATAGTTGCACAAAACTAGTTGCCAAACCTCATTGTAGCTTCCCGCTATAACGCAGGCTCCCAAACGAATACAGAATAATGACGGAGTAAGCTTAGTAGAGAAGGGATGAAGAAGGCACAGATGGAAGAGAGAGTAAGACAACGACCCTCGCCCAGGGAAGGAATTTTACGGATGGTCGACACTGAGGGAACCCCGGAATCGAGGTATGTGCTGTGGGGGAGGGGGGCGTCTTTCATTCCCTTTCCCGCTCCACGCTTCAGTTTACCCATCCGTAAAGTGAAAGGGGGCAGAAAACCTACAACGTCTCTTCCAGATTTGACATTATTTAATTTCCCATCCCAGCAACTTTCTCCTGCCGTTGACCCGCGCCAGCTCACCTGTCGCCTGCTCAGCCTAAAGCTCCAAGTCCGCCGCCCGAGACCGCGCTTCCGCCCCACGCCGCCGCACCGCTGCGCCCGCCGTCCGGAAGGACCCCGCCGACGCCGCCGTCGCGTTTCTGCCCCGAGGACAGCCCTCTGCCTGAGGACCGGCTAGGAGGAATGCCGGCCGCGGATCCAGGAACCAGCCACGTGGAGTCGAGAGCCCCCAAACCAAAGCGTGGGTTGCTCCAGAGAGACTAAGGCCGGAGGAGGCATGAATCTGGTCAGGCGCCTCGGAGCCACCCTGAAAAGGGGGGGGGGCCTGCTGTACGATCACGTGGTCAGGCTGTTGGAGCAGTTGCTGAGCAACCACCGCTCCTCTACGCTGAGCTGTGCGGTTCCGGAGTATCTGAGTATTCCCAAAGAAAGCAAGGAAGCCTAGGCCTGGGGTCCTGGGGTGAAGGGCTGGGGAGCGGAAGGGTTAGTTGTCCTCTCTCTTCAATGACTGGGGAGGGCATAGAACTGGACAGGAGCCGGGACACCTGAGTTCAGTTCCTGGCCTGCCCCGCCCCTTTCTCGGTGTTCAGTTTACCCACGCTGGGGTGGAGGGAAAGGGCTGTGGGGTTGGTCGCAGACCTCCTGCTTCCCTGCCCTAGGGCTGTTGATGATGACACCACCACAAAATCTAGGTCAACGCACCACAAGTCTGAGGTTCAGAGAGGTCTCACAGCAAGTAAATGCCAGAGCCACGACTAGAACCCGTATAGATGATTTCCCTGTTGAACGGATCAATCAGCCTCACGTACGCAGAGGCTGCAGAAGTACAGTGGCAGAGCTAAAGAGGTTGCTCGAGTACCTACAGACCTGTGCTCCAGCCCTGGTCTGCACGGAGGGATTTGGGAACAGAGATCCCTGAACCCCTTCCTCTGCCACTTCGGCTTGATTTCCTACTCAGTCATTGCATCTGGTTTGGGTGAAAAGTATCATTCCCCATTGAAAACACTGAATGATGGGTGAAATTTTATTCCTGGACTCAGGAGTATAGTTAACAATAGTTCTGTTTTTGTGGGAGGTCCTCTGTCACTCACTCACTATAGAGTGAACCCATATGAAAGAGTGAAGGGACTGGATTCTGAGATCCAAATGTCTCCTCAGCAGAAGCACCAGAATTAAAATACTTTTAGAGGTAGAGAACAAAATTAAGACAGGGCTCCATGGTGATGGGTATTAAAGAGGGCACATTCTGCATGGAGCGCTGGGTGTTATACGCAAACAATGAATCATGGAACACTACATCAAAAACTAATGATGTAATGTATGGTGATTAACATAACATAAAAAAAAAAAAAAGACAGGGCTCCAAACTGAAAGTCAGACTCTGTGTTCTATTTTCAGTGACAAGTCTTAAGCAAGTCCTCACTGTGCAACTCAGCTCCCCTCTATAGAGAACTAGGTTGTTGTAATACCCTGCAAGGTAAGTAGAAAGATATCCAGAGCGCTTTGGGGTCGTTTTGTAGGCTGGCAAAGAAGGCAGACACATCCTCCTCCCTGATATTGATCCTCCACTGACGTCCGTTTCCTTTGCCTTCCTAGAAGCAGATCATGGAAAGGAATGACATCATTGACTTCAAGGCTTTGGAGAAAGAGCTGCAGGCTGCACTCAGTGCTGATGAGAAATACAAACGGGAGAATGCTGCCAAGTTACGGGCCGTGGAGCAGAAGGTGGCTTCCTACGAGGAGTTCAGGTTGGCTTAATGCAATTTCTTTCTTTTTTTTCAGCTTAATGCAGTTTTTCTCAGACCCTCCTGTTATGGTGGAGTGTAGTGGATAAGAGCATGTGCTTTGAAGTCAGGCAATTCTGGGCTCAGTCCTGGCCCTACCTTCTGCTACCTATGTGATCTTATGCAAGTTATTTAACCTCTCTGAACCTCTAGTCCTCATCTGTAAAAGAGAGTGACTATTGTTACGATTAAAGAAATTGTTACATGTAAGATTTTGAGCACAGTGTCTGGTACATGGGAAGTCCTCAAAAGCTGTCAGCCATTGTTGCTGTTATTATTATTGTCATATTGACTTGCTGGTAGGTTTCGCCTCGATCGTGCAAAGTGCAGCCACCTCACATCCACAGATAGCGTGAAGTCTATCCTCCGATCTCTGTCCTTTGCCTACAGGGGTATTGTCCTTGCATCACATCTGAAGCCACTGGAGCGGGAGGACAGGATAGGAAGGAGGAGGACTGTGGCCTGGAACTGTCACACTACTCAGAGAGGGACCTCTCAGGACGAGACCACTGAAATCTCCCAGGTAGGTGAGGCCCAGCCTCTTCAGCCCAGTCGGATTCTCTGCCCTAAACCTCCAAGCCTGTCTTCTTACGACACATACTTCTTCCTTCTTTCTCATGTTAAACTGACAAGAGGCAGGTTTCTGCCTCCAATCCCAGAGAGAAAAGCAACCAGCAGACGGTGAGAGTGAGTTAAGCTGGGCAGAACCACTCAGAAAGGTGGGCTAGACAGGTCTTCTTCATTCAGTCCGTTGGCTTGCACTCCCAGATCAGACTTGAGCTGCTCTGCCCCCGGGTTATATGGTATATAGTGTAATGATACTGTGGCAGCATTGGGAGAGAGACCCAGCCTGTCAGATTTCTAACACTCACCTTGAATTCCTTTCTCTCTTTCTGAGGTTTCCAGTCATCCCCTGACTTACTCTCATAGAGCAGTGCACATATGTGCACATTCATCAGTGGGAAAATCCTAGTGCAACTGAGATTCTCAAATCATGGCCTGGGTTCCTTGGGGCCCTCCCTCCCTGTCCCATTCCCAGTTCCCTGATCTGAAAACCAGGCCCACAGGAACCACAGCCTACCTAGTGCTCCGAGAGCAACACTAGAGCTAAGATGAAAACCCACAGGCTCCCCTCACTGTCACTGTCTTCCTGCCGCAGAGCAGCTGGAAGAGCTCGGGACTTTCTTTCCTTCCTTGTGATCCAGGAGAAAACACTTTTCCAGCCTGAGACCTCTGCAGAGTTCTACCGTGATTGGCGGCGGCACTTGCGGAGCGGGCCAGAGCGCTACCAGGCCCTGCTGCGGCTCGGAGGTCCAAAGCTGGGTCACCTCTTCCAGACGGATGTGGGGTTTGGACTTCTAGGGGAGCTGCTGGTGGCACTGGCGGATCATGTGAGGCCAGCCGACCGGTTGGTGGTGCTAGGGATCCTGCACAGCCTGGCCAGCACCGGGCGCTTCACCCTGAACCTGAGCCTGCTGAGCCGTGCGGAGAGAGAGAGCTGCAGAGGCCTGTTTCAGAAGCTGCAGGCCACGAGTGCTCCCAGACCCACAAAGGAGGGGCTCAGCCAGAAGGAGCGGGGTCTGGAGGAGCAGCCTGGTGGGATCCAGGAGGAGGAGAGGCTCCTGCAAGAGCTGCTAGGGCTGTACCAGGTGGATTGACAGGACCATTTACCTTCAGAGGCCCCCCGTGGCCACTGGAGGCATTTTTTGCTTGTTGTCCTGGGGGCTCTGCAGGACTGTCATGAGAAGCCCACACCTAATTCCCTTCTCAACGTGGAATTGGCAGAACGTATGCAAGAATCGAATCTTCCCCACTTCTCCAGCCACCTTGGTTGCTCAATATTCTGAACTGTGTAGATCAACAGAATGGTCAAGGGCCCAAGAACGTGAGTTTTGCTTCCCACCCTTAGAGTCCGCCAAGCCTCTAGCCCGTGGCCCTGAGAGACGAGTGTGTACCCAACCAAATGCTGCCTATTACCAGTTAAAGCCTCTACTCAAAAATAAATAAATAAATAAATAAATAAATAAGAAAAATCATCAGTCTTCCACGTTAAACAAATACTGATCTCCATAGCTCTTAACAAGAATACCCCAAATCAATGAATGCATATTTAATTGACAAATAATCAAATGCTACCTCATTGAGGTGTAGTATTTTCCTCAGGGGCTGAATTCCTGGGCAGTTTGTGTCTGGGAAAGCCCCAAGCCATCAGCTTGAGTCTGGCCAGCCTCCCAGGCTTCAGATGGCCAGATGTGCAGGCAGGTGGGTCTTCTTCAACTCCTGGATTAACCAAAGGGAAGACCTTTCCACCAAGCAGGCAGGCAAGACCTGAAGCAGGAAGGCAGAGATTTTCCTGTTCTAGCACCTGTGCCCTTGCTTCTCATTCCGGTTTCCCCTGACCCATTCTTGGGTGAGTGCCAGTGTTCTAGAAAGGAGAGAGAGGGCCAGGTTCTAGAATGATTTTTCCCTCAAGATCACGTCTGGAGCATGAGAAGGGCATCTTGTACATCAGGTGGGAATAAATTGCCTTGCCTTTGGCCTCGTCCTCTGCAGATTCTTGCTTCTCTTCTGGCTGCTCAATCCTTTCTCCTATAGATGCCTGCTCTTGGCAGTGATCTCTAGAAGCCCCGTGAAGCCTTGAGTGCCTTGGTTTTGCCCCGCCCCCTCTGACCATTGCCTCTTGCAGGCATGAACCTGGCCCACACCACTGTGCTCCTGTGGGTGTGGGGGAGTCTCCAGGCCTTCGAAATTGTGGAGAAGGAGAATATTTTTCAGAGGACCCCCTGCCCAGCCTTTCTGATGTTTGACAATGCAGCCTACCTGGCAGACATGAGCTTCGAACTTCCCTGCCACTGCAAGCCCGAGGAGGTGTCTGCCGTGGTCTGGTACTATCAGAAGCACCTGGGTAGCAGCCACACCAAAGTGCTGACGGACTTCGATGGGCGGGTGCTGACAGAGGAGTCCCAGGTGCGCGCGGGCAGCGACATGCTGGTTCGCTTCAGCATCCGCATGTTCAGCCTGTTGGTTTTCCGGGCCCAGCCCGAGGACTCGGGCTTGTATTTTTGTGGCACCCGCAAGGGGGACTACTTTTATGCCTACGATGTGGACGTCCAGAGCGGCGAGGGAATGGTGGCCACCTTCAAGGACCAGGGCCAGGAGCCCTTTGCCGACGAGCACCACGGGAGCCTCCACATCTTCACCACCTTCTGGGAGTGGACCCCTTGCGACCGCTGCGGGGTCCGAGGAGAGCAGTGGCGCATCGGCCTGTGCTACCTGCAGAGCCCGGGTCTCTCCCCTCGCTACCGCAAGACGCTGCCCGAGGTGGTGTCCTGCGGCTCGCAGGCCGTGCCCAGGAAGCTTCGGGCCCAGGCCAGGGAGCACACCCCCGAACTACTGGTCCAGAGCTGCGTGGTGCCGTGTGAGAAGAAGGTTCACGAGGGCGTGATGGCCATCCTCAGCTACGTGTCCAAGGTGGGCAGCCGGCCCTGGTTGCCTCAGGTGCCCATCCAGTTCCACCAGCAGAGGCTGGGCCACGGACTCATTATCTCCTGTCCCGGGGCCCGGCCAGAGCACGCCGTGGCCTGGGACAAGGACCGCCAGTACTTCTACCGCACGCAGTACCTGAGGGGCGTCAACAGGTCCATGAGGGTGTTCATCGACCACGGCAACCACCTCCACATCCGCTTCACCCAGCTGAGTGACCGGGGCATCTACTATTGCTGGCGGCAGGGGGTGCGCGTCGCCGGCTTGCGGCTGAGTGTCATGTCTCGGGGCCGCTACCGGGCCTCGTTCTCGGACCCTGAGACTCGCTCCGCTGTGGAGCTCACCCTGGTGGGCTACCTGTTCATCACAGCGGTCTTTGTCACCATTCACCTCTGCCGGTGCTGCTGTTACTTATTTCGCTGTTGCCCCAACTTCTCCCCCTAGCCGCCCCCCACCCCTTCCCCGGCTCGGAAGACCAGTTGCGCTCAGATGTGTTTGTTAGATGACACCGGATGCCTCTGGGTGGGCATCCCGGGCTGGGCTGTGTGGCAAGTGGGGGGGGTGGTGTGTGGACAGACCTGTTACTTATAACCTGCTCCTGGCTGGTGGAGCAGCCTGAGGCGGGCGGGAGATGGCGGACTGGGGCCAGTACCGAAGCAGCCAGAGTGCGCGTCTTCCAACCTCACGCTCAGAGAAGGAAGAAGTGAACCTAATATTCATCAAATGACCTTTTTGATGTTGGAACAGTGTTTGAGGTGCTTTCTTTTCTTGCCTTGGGGGATTGCCAAGTGGGCGCTGGTGGAAATGGGGGGTAGCCGGGAGAGGAAGGGGGAGTAGGGGAGCCTACTATATGTCCTCGTCTCTGGAATGGCCGGTTTGGGAATAAAGGTAAAGACTAGAACAGGGGAAATGGGAGGGGGAAGTGAGGTCAAGGTCACGGCTTTCCCCAGGGCTGGGGACTGGGTGAGAAGAGGGGCCGGGGGGCACGGGGGCTGCCATGTGGAGCAGGGTTGGAGTTGGAGTTTGCTGGGGGGCTTGGGGTCCCAAGATGATCAGCGATAAGAAGCAAGTTGAGTCTTGTCCCAGGCCGTTTCCTGCCCTCTCCCCCAGCCCCAGCCTCTCCTGAACAGATCAGAGTCCACTCTGGGAAAGGCCACGGCCATTGTCTTTATTTACCTTAGTGAGTAAAGGCTGCAGTGGTGCTCTGAAGGTTAGCAGCGGTGGGTGGCAGGAGGGAGTGGGGGAAAGGGCACCAGGTCTTGGAAAGAGGGACTCTCACTTCTCTGGCCTTAGAAGGGCGAGGGGGACCCTGGAGTGGGCCCTTTCAGCCCTACTTCTGGGCACAGATTGTCCTGTGCCTGCCCCCCACAGTCTTCCCATGGAAAGCAGAGCACAAACCAGAGCCTTCACTCTGCTCATGCCTCCATTTCCCGAATGATAAAATAGAGTACTACCTACAAAATGAGGGTACACTTTGTATTTGAGTAAGAGGAGAACCACAAGGGCCCTTGGTTAGGGGAAAGCAGCAGGTCACTGTAGGGTGGAGAGTGTCAGATGAATGGGGGTGGCTTCGCCCAGCAGTGTTTGCTGGGGTCTCGAGGCAGCAGCTACAGTAGCTCCGAGGCCTGGGTGGGGGGATTATGCAGCAAGGAAGGGGCCTTTAGCATGGGACAAAGTGTGCCCTGCCCCCGGGGACAGCTGCCTCTCTCTCCTGTTTCAGCATCTTCAAGAGGATGAGTCACTTCCTTGATTCCCCATGACCCAGAGGCCAGGTGTACCTGGTTGCCCACAACCCCCAACTCTGATGTCTAGCATCATCCCAACTGCCTCCCCTACCATCTCCACCTGCCTCCCCTCCAGCCTTATGGAGGGTCGACTCCTGGGCTTGACCTCTCTGTATCCAACCTAGGGGCCAGGCAGCTCCCCTCTACTCCTTCCCAGCACCCATTCCCTCTCCACTTACACTATAGATCCCGCAAGTGCTGAGAATCAAGCTCCCACATGCCCATGGCATGCCCACAGCATGCCCACATGTCAGCTTTGTGGGACTGAGACATTTGAATCATCACTCAGAAGGCCCCTCTGGGATCTGGGCAGGCCAGGCATTCTGTCTGGGGACCGCTCCAAGTGGCAGGATGTCCCCACCCGCTCTCAGACTGCTCAGGGTCAGTCTAGAAGACACCTCTGGCCAGGACTACGTCGCCTGTGGGGGTTCCTGTCTCAGAGTCTTGGTTTTCCTCCAGCAGCCTGACGAAACTCCAAGGCCCACTTCCCAGTTACCCCCAGGGACCCCCAGCTCTGGCAATAGTTGCCATGACAGTGGGGGTTAGGGATATTGAGGAGGGCGATTTATTGGGTCCCTGGCCCTCCCCAACTTCTCTCCTTCCGCCCAGTTCTAACCCAAGCTGCTGGCCATGGCCCTCCAGGCCGCCCCTTTGGGGTAAGTGCCTTGTTAGTTGGAGTTACTGGGTGTAGGGTGGGTGCTGTCTGGCAGGTCTGGTACCCACGGAGCCTAGGGCAGCAAGCTGGTGTAGAGGTGGAGGGACGAGGGGAGCAGCCGGGGTGAGTGGGAACTCGGGTCTGGGGGAGTCCACCATCAGAAGAGGGGCAACAATCCCATCTGCTCAGGCCCCTCACACTGTGGGACAGGGGCCACCAGGAGGGTCCTGCCTCACATCACGTCCTTGTGCTCCTGCTTGGATTCCTTTATGACCTGCAGGGGGGCACAGAAGTGCACAGCACAATAGTTAGGGACTCACACAGATATCAGGCCCACCACTTCGAGGCCATGCAAACTTTGGAGAAGTCCCCAGCCTTCCCGGGTCTTTCTTCTCTATGAGAGCAACCAGCACTCCCCCCAAGAAGCTGCCAGGAAATGAGGTAACACTCGTAAGCATTTAGCACCGGGCCTGGCACCTGGCGAGCTGAGGTGGTAAGATGAGCTAGTACTGTCGCGGGTGTGACGGGAGGGCTTATGCCAAATCCCCCCTTCCTATTCCTCCCGCAGGTTCCTTTTGTCAAGCCGGAAATTGAAAGTTGGGAGTGAAAGCTACTAACTTTAATTTTCTTTCTCTCTCTCCCCAGGCCTGGTGCTGGGGGCACCTGCGTCTGAGGGTGAGACAGGGAGAAAGTCCAAATCAGGACTCCATCCAGTGGCCTGGGCACCCAGGCTCCCTGGAACTGCCTGCGGAGGGGATAGGGAGTTGAATTACATCCAGGTTCCTTCCCCTCTTCCAGAGCCTCCCTGGGAAGCTCTTCCGAGTGATTGAGAACCTTCTATGTGCAGTTTAGGCTTTCTTCCAAAGCCTGGTCTCAATTCTGCCGGGGCCACAATCTCAGGTCTGCTCTCCTTACCTCTCCGTCCCGCATCTCCACGGTCTTTACCACGATGTTTCTCTTGAGGTGGCCTTCTGACACGGACTTGGTGTCCAGGCTAGTTTCTGCAGGCACGGGGACAGGAGGCCTCCTGTTGACTCCTGGGCCACTAAACATCATTCCCCACCCCCAGCTTCCCCACAAAACCCACAGTCATAGGGATTGAAAGTCTATCCAACTAGGCAGAGAGGACCTAGGCTCTTTCAAAGGGGCTGGAGCCCCCCAAGTCCCCATGGTGCTAGGTAAGACCTGGCTGCTCCATCCAGTGCTTTGCTCACTTTCCTGGCCTGGCTGCATTTCAGTCCCTCTGCAAGCTCTTGCCTGGTCCCTGGGCTTTCTGACACCCCAGCGATGTGCCGAGGAAGGAGCACATGGGCTTTGAAATCAGGCAGGCCAGAGCTCGAGTCTCAGCTCAGCCACAAGGCTGTGGGCAAGTTAATTTACCTCTCCCAGCTTCAGTTTCCTATCTGCAAAATGGGGATGATGGTGTCTACTTCTCTAGGTGGGAGAAAGGAGTCAGTTCACTGAAATAATACATGTTAAGTGCCTAGCACATATTAGTGCCCAATACACGTGGGTCCCTTTCCTGTTCCCCTGCCCCTCCCTTACTTCTCTCTGCCACTTCTCTGGGCTCTACTGACCCTTCACTGTTTGGCACTTGGCAGTATTACCTCAACCTGCTCTGCCTGGTTAAACTTCTGATGCTGAACTAAGCCCCAGGACATGTATAGCTCATGTTCCTAAATTTCTAGAGCAGAAGAAGGTTTTTTTTCCCCCTTAGATAAGAATCATTTGAGGGACATCCAAGTCAGAAGTAATTTAGTTACCCCCCCCCAAGAGAGAGAAATGTAACATGTCACACTCACTAATATTTAAAATTAAGAGCAGGGAGCATAAAACTTTATTCACTACAAGAGCTGCAGTCCAGGGGGAAATAATCCTCTGGGCTGAATCAGCACTGAGCTGAGCCGTGGAGCCTCGGGGACAGACGAATTGAGCAGAGAACCTGGCCACCAGGCACGGCAAGCCCCAAGGGGCCCTCCCAGTGATGGGGAGGAGGTGAGGTGGAGGCTGGCATTCACCCAGGGGCCCCATAGCCTCTCATCTGAGCACCAGAGGACACATCACTTTGAATACCAACCAGCTCTGCTAGTTTAACCTACATTTACCCTGTGCCAGGTCCTGGGCTGGGCACTGAGGTCGCTGGGAAAATGACACAAGCTTGGCCCTTTAGGGAAACCTGGGAGGAAGGAGCCCAGGAGGGCAGGGAAAACAGGCTTGGTGAGGCTCACTCTCTGCCAAGCTGAGAAAAGCACTGTGTCTGAGAGTCTGAGAGGCAGGCTGCTAACCGAGAGCCGGCGGGGCTCCATTTACAATCTGGTGAGCCTGTATTGGTATAACTTGTATTGTGAGGCTTTTGAGATGTCTTGTGACCTTGTGACTTTCCCCTTCTTTGGTGCGTTTGCCCCCTGTAGTGACAAGCAGTTAAAAAACAAAAACAAAAACATAAAACACTCAGATGGGCTGAGCTTGATCAGGGCTCTGTGGACAGGGCAGAGGTTGAGATCTTCACCCAGTTCTGCTATAGGAGGGGGTGCAGGGTTAGGGAAGGGGGCACAGGGCAGAGCAGGGCAGGAGCAGCCGCAAGCCCCACCTGGAATGCCCTGGGCTGCTGTGTTCTGGTTGGAAGCTCTGCAGTGAATTATGGTCCCCAAGGCGATCCCTGGACCGGACCCCTTTGCCCTGGTCCTCGGCCCCAGGCCAGAGCAGCAGCCCACCTGGGGGAGAGGGCAGGAATCCAACACCCTGCCCACAAAGCCCTGCTCTACTGACCTCGGATCTGCAGGTTGGAGAAGGTCTGCACGGGAATGGTGATGCTGAAAGACAGCAAAGGCAGAAGAGTGACCGGGCAGCCCAGGGACATCCCCGGGGCCAGGCCCTGGTCCAGGGGTTTATCCTGACAGCCTCAAGGCCCATCTCTTGGCTTTCTCCAGCAGCCAACACACTCCCTGGGGCTCCAAGAGTCTGCAAGGGGCTTGGGTATTGTCCGCCAGGGGAGCATCTCTATTTGAAAGCGTGGAGGACTGGAGGATGGCAGAGGGGAGGAGGAAGTGGTGAAGAAAGTTCCAAGACAAAAGAGACCGGTCAGGGGAAAAGAAGTCCAATCTTCATTGGGAGGGTGGGGAGTGAGCCTCTTAGTTTGGGGGGTGACCCAAGTCCTCGCTCTGCGACCTCATCAACATTGCTTGAATCGAATCCATTCATTTATTCACCAAACGTTTATTGAATACCTACTGTGTGTTAGGCGAGCACTGTGCTGAGCACTGGGATAGGAGGGGGCAGGACACAAGCTGAATATGACAGTCCCTGAAGGGAGCAAGGAGACTCCAGGGAGGGGCAGCAGGGAGGACTCCCCAGGGCCACGGTGGCAGCTCACCGGTTCTCCTCGCCCTCCAGCAGCTTCCTGTAGGTGGCGATCTCGATGTCCAGGGCCAGCTTGACGTTTAGCAGGTCCTGGTACTCCTGCAGATGGCGGGCCATCTCGTCTTTGAGGCTCTGCCCCTCCTCCTCCAGCCGAGCCAGCGCCTCCTGGTAACTCGCCGCCTCCCGCGCGTGCCGCTCCTCCTGCTCCCGCATCTGCCTCTCCAGGGACTCGTTCTGTAGGGTGGAGCCGGCAGGTGCCTCGGGGAGGGAGCACACTGCCCGCCCCCCCGGCCTGTCCCCGGCCTCCCCTCTGGCCCCCAAGTAACTTTTCAGAGCCCCCGCCCGCAGTCCCGGTCCCCGTCCCCGGCTTGCGTGTCCCCCGGGGGCTCCAGCTCGCGCGCACCCGCTTCGGTCCCGCTGCGGCCGCGCCCGCGCTCACCGTGCCGCGCAAGGACTCCAGGTCGCAGGTCAAGGCCTGCAGCTGGCGCCGGTAGTCGTTGGCCTCGTGCTTGGCCTGGCGGAGCAGCTCGGCGTTGCGGGCGGCTGCGTCGTTCAGGTCCGCAAACTAGGGGTGAGAGGGCCCTACGCTCAGGGGTGGCTGGGCCGCACCTCTCTGGAGCCGTGTGGGCTGATGGGTCTCTGGGACCTCAGGGAGATGGGCAGGGCCCCGGGCTTGGTGTCCAGGTCTGCCCAGGACTCTGGCCCTGGGTGGGATTGTTCCCAGCGACTGTGACCCATGGGCAGAGGGCACAGAAGGCCCCTGCCACGTCTCCAGCACCTAGCACAGTGCCTGGGCAGGGAATGAAGGACCAAATGGTGTTTGCCACAGAATCCAGAATCTTCTGCACTGGCAGCTCTATCCAGGAGACTGAACCCTGACCTCCACCACTGTGGCCAGGGGGTTCCGGTGAGCAGTACCCTGGGTTCTAATCGTGCTCTCTCCCCCAGCTTGCGGTGAAGCTCTCGTGGCTCCATCCGGGCTTGACTGCTCAGAGCCATCACCAGCTTCTGCCACTCTTGCTCCTCAGCTCGGCCCCTGGGCTGGCATCTCAGGGCCCTTGCCCTGTGCTTTCTTGCACCCCAAATGCCCCTTCCCTCTTCTCTTCATGTTCTTTGGCTGCCAGTCCTACCTAGCCCACAAGCCCCTAGCCCTCCCTTCCACCATACCCTCCCCGTCCCCCACATTACATCTATATAAACCCTGCCCAGCAATGTTCTCTCTAGACAATGTATTTGGGTGCACATCACGTCTCCTTGGTGGGACAGGTCTCTGGATCCTTGGCAGTGCTGGCATGCAGTGGGTGCTCGGTAACCCAGGACACAAACAGCAGAAGCATCAGGAAGTGCGACGGCTGGGATTAGAGATCCGGCTCTACCATTTAGGAACTGTGTGAGTTTGGGCAAACTAGTTAACCTCTCTGGACTTCAGTTCTCTCATCTGTCAAAGAACAGTATTTTCTTCACAGTAAGTAAGATAGATAATGCATGTAAAGCACAGGGCCTGGCACACATCAATGTTGGCTAATAATAACGGTAATAGTAACAATAATAACGATAATAATAGTAATAAGAAGTACTTATCGGAGGGACACCTGGGTGGCTCAGTTGGTTAAGCGTCTGACTCTTGGTTTCAGCTCAGGTCATGAGCTCAGGGTGGTGAGATTGAGCCCTGCATGGGGCTCCATGCTCAGCATGGAGTCTGCTTGAGATTTTTCCCCCTCCATCTCCCTCTCCCTCGGCTCCTCCCCCTGCTCATGCTCTCTCTCTCTCTCTCTCTCTCTAAAATAAATAAATAAAATCTTTAAAAAAAAAAAAGAAAGAAAGAAAGACTCATAGGCAGTAATGGTGTCTGTGTGACCCTGGGCAAGCCACCTCGTTTCTCTGGTGAAGGTCAATCACCCGGAGAGGATCCTCTCCCAGCTTCCTCCACCCTTGTTCCCCAATTCTCTTGTATGGAGCCAGTAGGGCTGCCCAGAGGAGGCAGGCTGGCCCACAGTCAGGGCTACCTTGGACCGGTACCACTCCTCGGCCTCATGCATGTTGCTGGACGCCATGGCCTCGTACTGCGTGCGGATCTCTCTCAGGGCCGCTGTGAGGTCCGGCTTGGCCACATCCAGCTCCACGTGGACCTGCTGCTGGGCTAGCTGCTCCTGGAGCTCCTGCACCTCCTGGGCAGGATGAGAGACGGCGATGCCAGGACCGGGGGCCCGGGCTGCCACTGGGGTTTCCCCACAGTATTCTGCCCTTGTCTGCCTGCCCCTTGGATGCTGACGTTGGCTAAGGGAAATGGGGCAGTTCTAGTTAGAGGAAGTGGCATGGCCCAGGCGAGGGGAGCAGAGGGTCGTTTGGGGGCCTCATGGTGTCCTCCTCCCAGGTTCGGCCAGGCAGGAGCACTGAATGCGCGCCTGTGTTCTTGTGGGAGAGTGACCGAGTCCCCGTGGTGTGGGTGTGTCTGTGGGTTCCCAGGTTCCTTGGCATCATGGACTCTGAATCCATAATCTGAAGTCAGAGAGCTCAGTGGTATCTTTTTAAAATGAAGGGCTCTCATTTAAATGGAGACAGGTGGCAGTGGGGGTGATGTCAGAGAGACTAACTATGTGACCTTAGCAAGTTCTTTAACCTGGCTGGGCTTCGGTGTCCTCTGTTTTACTGGAAGATCATACTGGGAGGGTCCCTATCCCACAAGGCTGTAGTGAAATAAAAAATGAGGCAACAAGGTCTGTAATAATGCTTAGTAAGTGGTGTGTGTCTGTATGAATTTCACCAGGGGCTGAGGATGCTCTGTTGTCTCTGTGTCTGTCTCCCTCAGTCTCTCTCTCTCATTTTCTTTCTCTCTGTCTGTGAGAATTTCTCAATCTCAGGCTCTCTGTCTCTATCCATTCCAGTCTCTATGTTGGCCTTACCTCCTCATGGATCTTCCTCAAAAACCGGATTTCCTCCCCTAGAGACTCAATCTTCCTCTCCAGATCCAGACGGGCTAGGGTGGCTTCATCGGCCTCCTGGAGCAAGGAGGGGCAAAAGGCTGCTCTGACCCCAGACTCCTCCTCCCCGCTCCCTAGCCTTGTCTGATCCCTCCTTCTGTGGCGGGGGAGAGCAGCACATTGTTCTGGAGGGCTGGGCTTGGGGGCTATTTGTGTGACCTGCCGTCAACCCTTAACCGCCCCCCATCCCTCCCCCTCCCCTCCACCTCCCTGACCTGTCGATAGGTGGCCAGGTTGTTCTCAGCCTCCAGCCTCAGGTTGGTTTCATCCTGGAGCCTGGGGTAGGGGGACACATTCCTGGGTCCAGGCTCTTCTGAGGATCTTGGACCCCTGCCCCAATCTCCCTGGACGTGGCTGCCAGAGAGAATCCCCACCCCCCCAGGACCAGTGGAATGGCAGGAGGAGTGAAGGGCAGAGGGTCTCAGACAGAGCCTTGGCCAGGAGGGTGAGCAGACAAGGGCCTTTGCTTTAACTCATTACTAAGGTGCTTTATCAAGGCTGCTGCCCCTGTTCCTACTCACACAGGTGCTTTCACCAACATATACTCACTGCTGCATGCACAAACACACTCATCCTCCTGCACTTGAGGGCACACACACACACACACATACACACACGTGCGTGCCCTGCCACACGTGCGTGCCCTGCCAGCTCAGCAAAACACCCGTCCCTGGGCTTTCCCCAGACCTTTGGAAATGGGTTTTATTAGAATCTCTGCTTCACAGCTCTACAGGCTGAAGTGGCTTGACCAGGGTCATAAGCTGGTAACAGGGAGCATCATCTGTGTTCCCGAAGCCAGGCCTGCTCTTTCCCTCACCTCCTTTCCCCTGGAGCCCAGTCCTCCTACTGCCCACCAATCTTCTCTTCCCATTCCTCCTCTCTACGGACCCAAAAGGCCACCAGGTCCTGCAGTGAATGAAATGCGAAGACCCTGCCTGTGGGGTCCCTGCCTGCGGGGTCCCTGACTCTTCCCGCACAGCTCTCCCCAACGGGGACGTGCTGAGAGTACACTGGCTCCTTGGCCAGAGGTCTTCGGGATTCAGATCCCTGAGACTCTGGGCTCCTCCCAGTCCCTCCCATCATCTTGGGGAGCAAGGACAGCCCTCCCCTCCCAGAGATGGGGAAACAGAGGAGCCAAGGATCATGGAGGCAAAACCCCCTGCCCGACATCCTGCGGGTCTGCGGCACTCCCGCTGGTCCGGGGGTGGGAGTGGGGGGCATCGGGCATCTTCCCTGTTCATGAGGCCCCTCTCCCCGGGCCCCCTCCTCACTTCTGCCTCAGGGTGCCCAGGTCCTGCGTCAGATTGTCTCTCTCGACCTCGAGCCGGGCGCTGCTGGCTGTGAGCTGGTCGAGCCGCAGCCTTAGCTCACGCAGCTCAGCCTGGTAGACATCGGCCAGCTTGGTGGGCTCCTTGGCCCGCAGCTGGTTCAGCTCCGCAGCCAGCGCCTTGTTCTGCTGCTCCAGGAAGCGCACCTTCTCGATGTAGCTGGCAAAGCGGTCGTTGAGCTCCATCATCTCTGCCCGCTCACTGGCCCGCGTCTCCTTGAAGCCGGTGTTGAGGGCCCCGCCCAGTGAGAAGTCCACCCGGGCCGGGAGAGGAAGCGGCATCCTGGCCAGGGAGAGGCGGGTGCCCGGGCCCAGGCGGCGGCCGGAGACCAGGCCTCCCCCGACCACGTCCGAGGAGGAGCTGTAGGAGCGGCGAGCCGCTGAGGTGACCCGTCTCCTCTCCATGCTGGCCAGACTCCGGCCGCTCCTGGGAAGTGAGGGCTTTATGGAGGCGTGGGCCGGCCTGGCGCTGCCCCAGCCGCCCCGGGCAACGCCCCCCTGGCATGGCCTGAGGGGGAGGGGCCGGGCGAAAGCTCGGCCATGGGGAGAGCCCTTCTCACCCCACCGGGGTCACTGTGCCCAGAGGCAGGGCCTCCCGGGCCCGCCAGCCCCAGTCTGGCCACAGACAGAGACCCTCCTGGTGCCTGGGGCCGGATGCTCCATCTGCGGCCCTGACCACTGGGCAGGGAGGCCCTTTCCCCTGGAAGGTGGGCCAGGAAAGGTCTGCATCAGATGACCTCTGACCTGCTTTCCACCTCTTAGAGCCCATCGCAGCACTCCTCCTTCGAGTGCCTGCTGAGCGCTGGGAACTTGCAAAGAACAAACGTGTTCCATACTCTCAAGAAGCAGCCCACGTTGCAGTTTCCTGCTGAGCCGCATTCCCAGCAGACTGTTGGACTCTTCCGCTCCGAACATGGGCGTCCTGCATTCCTGCTTTCTCCCCCTTCCCCGGAGGTCTGGGGCTGTGGGCTGCAACTGGACACCGGCCCTTTGTCTAGAGGGTCAGTTGAGGCCTCTGTCTAGCAGGGAGGCGGGGGAGGATGAAGGAAGGAACATGGAAGCTTTGAGGGAGCAAGAGGGGCAGGCGCCGCACTCCCTGGCCTTCTCCCTGGACCCCACTTAAGCCCCTGCCTCAGTCCCAGGGGGCTCGCTTGCCCCTTGCCCAGCCTCTCTGCACCCCGGTCTGGAGCCGGGCCTTGACAGCCACACAAAAGCAATTATGGATGAGCTGGCTGTCCCGGCTCCCATCTTTGTTCCCGCATCACCCTGTTTTCCCGGCCGCCCCTCACCTCACTTTCACACTGGAGATTTATCTCCTTTGAGTTCCCACACATCAGGCTGAGAGGACGGAAGGGCCTCTGGGGATGAGTCAGTGTGGGAACCCGGGAGCCACTGGGTCCATACTAGGAGCCCAGGGCCAGGCGTCCTGGAGCCTGACCCTTCAGATCCATCCACCCTTCTGTTCTGATTCCACGGGGGGGCCAGAACCTCACCCAGGCCCCTCACCCATCTGTGTCCTTGGACTTCTGGGAAGCCCTCATCTCCCCACCCCCCTGCTGCCCATGCTTGGGCCTCTGATCCCCTTCTCCTGGACACTTGCTGAATAGAGCCTTGTTTTCCACCACTGGTCAGGGCGCCACACGGAGAGGGCAGCCCCCGGGGGGCTGTGCTGTTTTTATCCCAAGATGCCAGGCTGTTAGGCAGAGTACAGCCCAAGCCCCCAGCTCAAAGAGCTTCTCGGAAGCCTCTGAGGGGGCCAGGGTGCAGTGGGGGGCAGGCTCTGTGCCCACCCCTGACCATTGTGTCTGTGCCAAGGTGAGTCATGCAGTGGGCACAAGGGGAAGGCCCGGGGGGGGGGGTGCGGCCAGCCCGGCACTGCCAGGTCTCTGGCTCTGCAGACAAGGCCTGGCTGCTTGCCCCCTCCCCAGCTCCCAGAGCCAGCTTCACCCCTGAGCTCCAGACGGGGCAATGCCTCTTACCCCACGCTGGGGAGACACACTCCATTTGGGCATGTTATGGGCTGCCTGCCGAGGTTTTCCCTGGTGAGTCCCAGCACAGAGAGGGAAGGTGAGGGTCTCAAAGTCTTCAGCCACACTTGACCCTGGACCTGAGCAGTAACATGGGGAGGGGACTCTTGGGGAGGGGCTACCCCATGACTTTTGATCCTGCTATGGGTGGAGGAGCTGGGAAAGTCAGGGGCATTAAAAGGAGAAAAAGATGGGACAAACCCTCATCCCAATTACTCTCTGGACTAGGAGTGGCTGTCCTTCTAGCTTGCCGGGCAAGTCACAAGGTACGGCCTTCTCTCTTTGTTCCAGTGAAATCTAGTTGAAATGAGGGTAAAGCAGTCTGGGGGGCGGGGCGGGAGAGATGGAACGAGAGCAGGAAGGGCTTGTCAGTGAGGCTCGGTGACTGGTCCCTCTGTGTGTGTGACCCAGGCTTATTTCAGCAGCAGCAGAGAGAGGTCCCCCCTTCACCCCCTTCAGCCACCTCCCCGGACCTGTGTCACCCAGGCTCCTTGGCTCCATCCTCAACCTCCATCAGACCCTAGACCCATTCCCCACACTCAGCCCTTAACTATCCAAAGATGTCCACACAAGAACCAGAGAGGTAGACAGACATAGTCGTGGTTGTTTGCCAAACTTTCATTATTTTGTATGACACATTCGCTGTAGAAAAATCAGAAAATATAGATAAGCAAAATGAAAAAATTTAATTAGCCATGATTTCACCACCTGGAGATAAACACTACCAGATTTTCCTCCATATATACGTTCATTTTTTTTTTTACAAGTGGGCTCATGCTGCACAAATTATTTTGTAATTTGTTTTTTCCACTCAGCAATATGTTGTGAACATCTTTCCATATCAATAAATATTTATCTACATCATCATTTTAACAGCTGCATGGTTTTCCACTGTATGCATTAATTTACCCAAGCCCTATTG